GGAGCTGGGCAGCAATGTTACTAAAAGCTGCAGGCTCCTGGCTCCAAGTGGACAGCAAACTTCTAGCTGATTACACTCTACCAGTAACTTTGCAGCAAGTTGCAGTCTCACAAGCTCCCTGGTGGAACAGCTACACAAATAAGCTGCAGGTGTTGAAGAAAGACGTATACACAGCTCAGCTACGGTAGCGTGGGTTCTCATGCACACACAGGCTCCTCTGCCCTGGCTATGCTGCTATAACAGCACTTGTCCAGCAAGCGTTGTGGTAACTTATCCTTCATGGAACTACTCTGGAGTCTTATTGAGATAGGAGCATGCAGATATACATCTATAACGGAAGGAACATACAGAAATTTTTGCATCACTGCCCTGCACACAGACACACCTTCTCATAAAAACCCCATACAGCATGAAACAAGCCTTTTATGGCTTCTTATCTATGTGACTTAAATTGGTGTCACTTTTCATTTAGATCTAGCCCTTATACACCATAAGACAAGATTTATTACATGTCCCCTGCGTGCTGGGTTTGCCCTAGCTTTCTAGGCTGAATTTAACTACATTAACTATGCTAAAGGTTTTAACGGTAGAGCTACAGTATTATTTGAAAATCTGGTATGGGCATAACTGGGCTTTAGCTACAATGCAGAACCAGTGCAGAGTGGAAAAAAGAGGGCACAAATTACATCAGCTTTAAGCCTTCAATGCTGCTTTTATCACAGTGCAGAACAGGTATTATGATAAAACTGTGTTCAAGAGCAAGTCAGGGACACGGCTGGAGCTGTAACACACAGGTTCAATTCCTGCTTTGATCCTCGGCCCATTAGATCCTACTGCTTCTAAAATACTTGTGGCTGTGACTCAACATATTCATGAGGTGGGATTTTTTTTTTTCCTTTTTTAAAAAAAGGAAACTGAATTGATTAGCTCTTTGCACTACAACTCTCTACCAGGGCAACTTAGTACTAAAAAGTACAGTCGCACACTACACCCAAACACCAAAACCCCCAAATTGTTCAGCCAAGCTGTTTAGATTGCCTAGGCAGCTAGATTTTTCACATTTGACTCAAGGAGAACTCTAATGGTCTTTTCCTTATAATGCCCCGAAGCACCTCCAACAGGACTTGGCACATGGCTTAACTCTGAGCAGGATCCAGAAAGCAGCAGTCTCTCACCTACTTCCTTTGACAGATTTGATTGCTAGGCATATTTTAAAAAGATTTAGTGATTAACAAGAAACATGGGGGGGGGGGAAGAGTGGTGCTGCTGCCGTTTTTTTTTCTTTTTTTTTAAATCTCAAAATGAAGAGGACAAAGTACACACAAGTTACAAAAATACAGGTTTTATTCTCTCATTTGTTGAAGAGGATCCAAGATCCTAAAAGTAATTTTATTGCATCAGGCCAAAGATCTACCTTCTTCAAAACTCAAGGGTGCTGGGCTACAGTACTTCTGCTAAATCTTCTAGAGATTCTTGCTACCTTCTGCCTCACTTGCATTTTTATTCTTAGTCCTCTGAAGCATTACTAAATTACACTGAATTTTCTACCAATCTACACCTAGCCATGGCCCGGTCAACCATCCCAAGCACCATGAGGAAGAAGCTTTGTAGGGCAGATCTCAGCAACTGCGGAGCTTGTTTTTGTTCCCTTGATTTTTCACAGTTCTAGATAAGACTGCTGGGCAACAGCTACTAACATCTCGGATGAGGGAGCTGTGGGCAGTCACTGATGTTCTTCTTGATGGACTCAGTGCTTAGTTTTGACTCTCCAGCCTTTATCCTATTACATTCACTGTTTCATACACTTGTTTTTCCCTTGATTTCTTTTATTTGCTTCTTCCCTGCTTCAAGGACACTATGAGAATTTATCAGAAGTGAGCTACTTGTCCCTAACTGAAAACCAACAGGAACAGTGCCCAAAAGCAAATATTATACAATGACAACAGAACAGGAAAGTACCTAAAGATACTGTTCCTATTTCTCTTTCAGTCTGTAAATACAGTCAGCTCAAGAAACTTCCTCAGCCTAAGACAGCCTAATAAGCCTAAGACAGTATCTATTTACTTCAATGACTTTTCTCCCATGAAAACACCCAGTCTTCCCTTGAACTTTTTAAGTTTATAACATACACATCTTTCAGCATCAAGTTCCATATACCTACTGTTAGCTGCCTAAAGAACCATCTTCTGGTGTTCTGAACTAGGCTGYTACCTTCATATAATGCCCCTACTAGCAAGAAAAAGAAGAGTACGTAGTAAGTTCCTATCCATTCTCTACATTAATCCCAGATTTGTGCAAATTCCTGTTACTGTTCTCATCAGTGGACTTCTGTCCAGACTGAAAAGATCCAACCCAGTTAATTTAATTATTCTAGAAACAAGCTTTCCAGATCCCAGAAATTCAGTGCTTTTCCATGTTGTCTAAACATCTTTAAGAGAAAGATGTAAAGCACCCAGTCAAGAGGTAGTATGCAGGATTCAGCTCTTGCTTTTCTAGATCTGTTATGTGTTTTTCCCTTCCTCCCCTCCTTCTCTTTCCTAATTTGGGTAAGGGGAGGGAAAACAAACAAACAAACAAACGAACAACAACAACAAAAAAAAACCTGCCACAGAACTGGAAAAGCATCAGAAAAATGACAAGAGGATGATGACTGATATGGGAGAGCTTTCATAGAGGTAATGACTAAGCAAGTTATTTAGTTGGGGGGTTGGGGTGAGGGTAACAGAATGTTATGTAGGTCTGTGAAATAACAGATAGTATGAAGAGGGAAGACATAAATCTTACTCTGATCCATTAGAAGGGCTAAGACTCATCAAATGAAACTTTAAAAAAAAAAAGGGGGGGGGGAGATAACTCTTCACAAGACTGAGCAGTTTACACAGGGGGCTTCCTGCCAAAGGATGTAGTGACTGCAAGAAGTTTGAGTTCAAGAGAAGACTGCACAAATATCTCTTAAGAAAAAAAAAAAAAAAAAAAAAAAAAAAAACACCCACAGAAGGTTTTAAAATAGAAGCCATACTGGTGAAGCTAAAGAGATGAAAACAGTTGGAAGCTGAAGAAAATTAGCAAAGGTATCAAATACAGTTTTCCTGTTCTTATGGTCTTTCCAAGGCACTGATAGGATGTTGCAGAATTGCATATTGGCTACCGCTTTGATCAGAGAGCACAGACATTCTTAAATTCTGTGTCATCTCAAAGCTTACACTTTTTTGTTCATTTATTTACCCTACATTGTGACATTATCTTAAGTTTTCGAGATCAGAATTCCTGTAGCTGAAGTTGTAGAAATAGAACACTGAAACTCAAGAGAAATATACAAAGCAACAAAAAACCTCTCCCCAAACACTACGATAACCCAAATCCTTCAATATAAGGCTATGTTTTGTAGGAYATCAAAGCAAACGGAGAATGATAGTGGATTTAAAACTACTGTTCTGCATCACTTGAACAGTGCAAAAAGCGCTGAAAAGCATTTGATTAAGATGCATTTATTTATCCTAATACTGTAACAGTGAGCAGGTTAAAGAAGAACATGAATGGGATTATCTGTCCTCTCTAGTTTTCTTCCCATACATGTTTAGAGACTAAAAGGCCAGCTATAAGCACAGGCAAAACCAGGGTCATAATATTCTAACRTGAATTTCAAGGGCTGCCACACACTCTTGCCTCACTTTCCCCYGTAGTTCAATATTTTCCTGTGTACAGAAGCAGCCACTATAGTGGGACAAAATATCTTAATACTCACGAGGGCACTGAAAACCTACAAAAGCTTGAACAACAGTAACAATGAGATCAGCTAACCTACTAATAAGAACTGATGGTGATGTCCATCTCTCTCAGGTCAATGGGCTTTAGCAGTCTTGTTGCATCTAATTACACTGTAACTCTCCAAACTATACATTATTTATCATGATTCTCCTCTAAAGGCAGAGATAGGAGCGCGGCTCCCAAGTCTGAACAACTACTAAAGATGTCACATGTGCCTGTGACACATGAAGCCAGAAAACAATAAATGAAAGGGTGCATCACAGTATACCCAATTTGRATCTCAGGGGCTTTAAAATGTTTACAAGTATGATAAGACTTCTATACAGAAAAATATACAAGACACAGAACTACATGTTATACAATGAGAAAATAAATCATGCAAGGTTAAATCTGGAACTCAGAGTTATAACAGGAGAAGTTAATACTATTCAGTCACTTCTGATATGCTCCACTTAGCCAGCAGCATGAGCTCTACCTGCCTATTTGATTCCACACATTGACRAGCCTTTACTGGACTGAGTCACCTTGCTGGAGCTTGCCCTCTGACCTACCCCTTTGGGTGTTTGTTCAGTGTAAGGCTCATAGGAAGTAACACATAATAATAGGAAACACCACATAATAGTTAGATCCCCATGCTAATAGTGAGATGCACACGTGCACACTGTCAACAGAATACACTCAAAATAAAATAATAATAAGATTCTTCCTACAGATCATACACTGCATTTTTCCTTCCAAACTAACTTAAATAATAACAAGAGGGCCTAAATATCCTGGCTGGAATTTCACCTACATTTTGAGTCATCAGTACGTCTCAACAGCAGAAAAATAATTTGGAATAAGCATCGTGACTGATGCAGGATTGCAGCCTGCAGTGAACGCTGATAACAAAGGAAAAAACAAAACAATCAAGCCCGAAGGAGCAGCCTGCCCGCAGAGCAAGGCCAGACTGCAGAACAAGGCCAGAGCTGCCCCGGCCCAGGGCTTCAGAGCTCGCGTCTGGCCCATCAGCGCCTGCCCCAGCACCTCCTGCCGGCTCCTTGGCCGGGGCCTGGCGGCGGTTAGGCGGCCACGGCCGGCGGCACAACGCGTGTGACAACCCTGGGCCGTGCCCGCCCGCTCGAGCGCAGCAGGCCGGAGCAGGGCAGGGCCGCAGGGCCGCCCGCCGGGGTCCCCCGCTCGCAGCGGCCCCTCCCCGGAGCGGAGGCGCCCGCCCCGCCCCCAACACCTACCGTACGTCTCGGACATGGCCACCTGCGACACCCAGGGGCGGCGGCTCGTCCCTGCGCGGTGACCGGCGGCGGCTCGCGGCCCCTCGTGCCCGTGGGCAGGCCGGCAGAGAAGAGCACCAGGCCCCGCAGCCGCCGCCGCCTCAGCACCGCCACCAACGGCCRCAACGGCCGCGCATGCGCGTGCGCGCCCGACCCGCCGCGGCCCCGCCCCTCGAGGCGCCGGCGCGGGAGGGGGGAGGGCGAGGCTAGCGCCGTGTGACTGCGCAGGCGCGTCGGGCTGACGCTCCTCAGCCCCGCCCCCCCCCGCAGCTGCCACCAAAACAAGGCGCACGTGCGGGGCCGCGGGGGGGCGGGGCTTAGGGTCGGACCACGTGACTGACTACTCCCCGCCCCCTGAGGTCGGGGCTGGCGGCGGCCATTTTGGGTGAGTGTGGTGTCTTTTGTGGTGGATTTGTGGGAGCTATTTGTCCTAATCTTGGCCATTTTATCCCAGTTCTCCAGAGCTGTAAGGCACCAGGACGCCCTGGGACTACCAGGGTTAGCAGTTGGAGTGTGCAGTGCACTGGCAGACAGGTCTGCATGCTGAGCTCCATTTGCCACGTGGTCACCCAGCAGTGAATATGGCACCACCACAGCGCTATTGTGTGGTAGCCCAGTGATATATGTAGGCCTATATGTAGGCCTGTGAGACAGCTGTACACAGAAAGTGTACTAGATGTTGAGGCTAGCCGCAACTCGGCTGAGGTACCTATGCCTTGGCTATGCATGTGCATCGGTCATGCTGATTCCTGAGGTTTAAATAATTTAAAAGTCTTCCTTGTCTGCAGAAAACTATATTACTTAAAGATAATCCCATTTGATTCTGGTGTCTGCTCTGGAAGTTGAACTTTGTTTATGTATTTAAAAATTTCCCTTAAGTTCTTCCTGAGAAAAGGGAGCTCAGGCTGCTGTCGGGGGGCATGGTTCCCTCGTATATTTTGAGCTGCTTGCATCTGAGCAGTAGGGCCATTCTGTGATGCCATCCAGAGGGACCTGGACAGGCTGGTGAGCTGGGCAGAGAGGAACCTCATGAGGTTCAACAAGGGCAAATGCAGGGTTCTGCACCTGGGGAGGAATAACCCCAGGCACCAGTACAGATTAGGGGTTGACCTGCTGGAAAGCAGCTCCACGGAGAGGGACCTGGGAGTCCTGGTTGACACCACGTTAACCATGAGTAGGCAGTGCCCTCGTGGCCAAGAAGGCCAATGGGATCCTGGCCTGCATCAGGAGGAGTGTTGCCAGCAGGTCAAGGGAGGTGATTCTGCCCCTCTCCTCAGCTCTGGTGAGGCCGCACCTGGAGTACTGGGGGCAGTTCTGGGCTCCCCAGTATAAGAGGGATGTGGAGCTTGTAAAGAGAGTGCAGCAAAAAGTGACAAAGATGATTAAGGGACTGGAGCATCTATCTTATGAGGAGAGACTGAGCGAGTTGGGCCTGTTTAGCTTGGAGAAGAGAAGGCTGAGAGGGGATCTGATCAATAGGTATAAGTACCTGAAGGGGGAATGTAGGGAGGAAGGGGCCAAGCTCTTCTCAGTGGTGGCCAGTGATAGGGCAAGGGGCACTGGGTGTAAGTTACAACATGGGAAGTTCCATCTCCACGTGAGAAGGAACGTCTTCACTGGGAGGTTGCCAGAGCCCTRGCACAGGCTGCACAGGGAGGCTGTGGAGTCTCCTTCTCTGGAGATCTTCCAAACCCGCCTGGATGCCGCCCTGTGCCCCGTGCTCTGGCTGCCCCTGCTGGAGCAGAGGATTGAACTGGATGATCTCTCGGGTCCCTTCCAACCTCAACCGTTCTGTGATTCTGCTGTGCTGCTGCCCTCCTTCCCGCAGGGCTCTGCGTGGTGCCCAGGTGGTGGGGACAGAAAAGCAGCTCTTGGCTGCAGGCCCTTGTCTGCCCTAAGAGCCCTGGACGTGCCGGGTCGGAGGCGCTGCCGCTGCAGCGCTCGGTCCCTGCAGCCGTCAGCAGAAGCGGCCGTGCTGGCCTCAAGAGCCAGGAGGGGACGGGAGGGCTCCTGCCAGCAYGGGCTGCCCTGCTCAGTGCTCAGCAGCCATCTCCTGGGTTCTGCAGGAGATGCAGGTGTCCGTGTGTGCTGCAGACAAGGGCCAGGGCAAGAGAAGCCCTTGGGTGCCTCTCTTGGTGGCTCTTCAGGGGCTGCGATTGAAATGCCTGAAGAGTCTGAAATCTGCAAGTGGAGAAGCCACAGCATGATGGTGAATACGTGTCTACCACGGTGATGCTCACTTAATTGCACTGCTGAATCACACACCACATTTTCATTCCAATACTTTTCCTCCTGCTGAGGTTCTATTAGAGTTCATTCCCTTTGTGTCCATATTCTGTTAACAGTGATGATGAATTTCCTGAATGTGTATGAATTTCCATGTACAGAGACAGGAAGTAGCTAAACGTTACCCTGAACAGTCTTCCATCATCCACATTTTCAGGAGAGAGTGTTTTGCTAGATTCCTTGGTTCCAGTGTGTCCCAACACCAAAATAAATCAAAAAAGAAACAAATAAACAAACCAACATTCACAACATCTGCTGTCAGTCCTGTAGGCTGTCCTTGTTCCTGGCATGCTGCACAGTACGTTTATCACTGCTGTAACCTGAGGAGGTATGAAGAAAAGAGCATTTATATTCCCTTAGCTCAAAACCCAACTTGAAAGTAGGAAGTAGAATTCCCCATGCCATATCCTAGGAATAGGGAATGGTTGTGGTAGCAGCAGAGCTTTGGCCTCAGCCCTTGGAGAGCTTCATGGGGCTTTTAGCTGCTGATTCACAGGGCACCAGCTGCCACCTTGTCCTCCCTGCCAGCACCTGGAAAGGACCCAAAAAGGAAGCCACAGCTCCTCATGTGGGAACGATGAAGGTGCCACGGCCTGGCAGTCACAGAATCACACACTGCTTAAGGTTGGAAGGGACCTTGGCAGATCTTCCAGTCCAACCCCCTCCTGCACAAGCTGGGTTACCTGGAGCATGTCGCGTTTGATCATGTCCAGGTGGGTTCTGAATACTCCAGAGAAGGAGACTCCACCACCTCTTTGGGCAACTTGTTCCAATGCTCTGTCACTATCACGGTCATGAAGTTTTTCCTCAAATACAGGCTGAACTTCCTTTGCTTCTGTTTATGCTTGTTGCCGCTTCTCCTACCAGTGAACACGACTGAAAAGATTCTAGCCCCATCCTCTTAAGACTCTCCCTTAGGGTATTTATACACATTGATAAGATCTTCCCTTCAGTCTTCTCCAGGGTGAACAGTCTCAGCTCACTTAACCTTTTCTCTTATGCGAGGCGCTTCAGGCCCTTTCTTATCAGTTAATTAACTAACTCTCAATTAGTTAATATCTACATGTCATCTTTCAGTTTCCCTTTGTGCTCTTATAGGGAAACCAAGTTCAAACTGGATCTGATGTTGAATGCTGTTCTGGATCCACCTTCACTCAGGGCTTCTGGCTGGGGTTGGGGGTGTGGGGAACTGTTAGTTAAGGGAGTGATAGGACATATCCTGGCTTAGTCTGAAGGTGGCACTAGAAGGCCATTCGTGTAAATGCACTACATGTGTTTGTGAGAGGACACGTGTGTGTTTTCTCTAGTAATTCTCTGGATGAACAGCCTGAGAGACTCAGGTGAAGCGGGGAATAACATGCTCTGCCTCGCCTTCCCATCTTGTGGTCTGAATGTGGAAACCAACTGTACTGGAAGCTGCAGGTCTGAGCTGAATTCGGAGCAGCGATGAATTTGGCACCAACAGCCCTAGTGAAATAGGAAAGCGGGTGACTGATGCTCTGAGAAGCTACAAAGATTTGGGTGACCTGCTTATATTCAATGTCACTAGCGAACTGACTTCCTCTGAATATACCTGACATTATCTGAATGCTGTCATCTTTGGCCTCCACAGACGCTGCCCTCAATCTCTGAGCATAGTTGTCAATTAACATAATTGCACTTACTCGTGGTAATTTACAGGCCAAGCACTTCTAAAACGTGGGCTAGATCTTCAGCTGTTAGTTGGCAGTAATTGGAGCTGGTGAAGAAGGTAATTGCAAAGGTAGGCTGATGATTTGCTAATCTCCTTTATCTTGCCCATGGTACTTTTCCCAGAATAAAAAGGAAGTTTATAAGTTATGCTACCACGATGGCAGCTGGTGCTTGCTGGTGTGCAGCACACTGCATGCTGGCCACGTCCTTTCTCTTTTACCATATTCTTCAACAGTGGTGGGAAGTGGAAGGGATTGCAGGAGTGCTGAGTAACCCAAGGGAACTCAGTATTCATGACAAATCACCAGAGGCTGGGATAAGCTCATTTTAGGATAATCTTATTCTAGAATGCAAAAATGCAAATTTGCCCTAATGTGGGATTGGGTACCTTTTTTTTTTTTTTTTTTTAAATTATCTTGCAAAACACTATGTGACATTTCTAGGTAATTCATCCAGGAAAGTAGTTTTAATACTTTTATGAGCACAAATGTATAGAGAAGCCTTGCATTAAAAAGAGAGATGCGTTGTATAGAAAAAAAGTACTTAAAAGGAAATAAGACTATASTCTCAAATCAATTAATATAGCTTTCAAAACAGTGATTTAATTTTGCAGGAATTTTTTTTTTCAGTGTTTCAATAAAGGCACAAGAAAATGGAGACGACAAATTTGGGACATATTCTTAAATATAGTATGCACATAAAATGTCTAGAAAACACACAAACTACATGAAACTCATCTGTATTTTGTTAACTCAGCCTCATGGTGTCACTGATTAACTTCTCTGCTGCTGAATAATACAATGATAATGCAATATAACAGGACACTTTTTTTTTTCACTTTTAACAATAGGAAATGGTTGAAGTGTTTGATATTTTTAACATCATTTACTTGAAATAGAAKATTTGTTGATAGGTTACCTGGGAATACTTGAGGTCGAGTGCTCCCCCTTTGGAGACCAGAGCAGTTCTCTCTGCTCAGGACAACCTGCATACAAGAAAAATGTAGCTAATTTAGATCCCGTTCCTCAAGTGAATATCCTCAAAAATGCAATATAGCAGTSTTGATTCAGTTCTGCAATAACAGT